TAATTTAAAAATTCAAAAAATTTTAGATTTTTGGCGTTTTTTTGCCAAAAATGTGTCTTAACTCTTTTATTAATAAAATAAAATTTTTATTAAGAACATATAACAATTTTATAGTTTTCTAAAAGGTATCTTTACGCAGAATGCTTTGGCGTAAAAAACTTGTCCTATTTTTTGAAAATGTTGCGACTGCGTCCTTCCGAATATGACCTATTTTTTATCAAAACTTCAACTTTGGGCGACATGTTCTAAAATCCCAAAGCTGGGATCAGAAAACTGAAAGCAGTTTTGGAAACCTCAATATGTTTTCTATTTACTCCAAAAGTATTTTCCCAGCCCTGAAAGAAATGTGGACCCTATGGGCAAAAAAGTAAAAAATTCCATTTTTGGGATTTTCATTCCTATTTTTGGGAATTGCGGGATGCCCTTTGACCTTTTCAATTTTTTTTTTGCATATTCTTATTTGAAATGACAAATTTAACAAGCGTTGAAAATTTCATTGAGTTTTGTTCATAAATAAAGATTTTATCATATATTACATATTTGTTTAATTTCTAAAACTATGATTTATATAAAAATTTTAATAGGATCGCAGATAGCTACAACAATTTAGTCCATATTTATCCCTTAATATCATTTTTTAGTTAGATATGGAAATTCTCGACCCTTTACAAAAAATTTCAAGCCAATATCTCAATTACATTCAAAAATATGTTCATTTAAACCTGTGTCCTTTAATTTCATCTTTTTCATATTTTAGTATTAAGTATGACAGCACATATTTAAATCTTATATTTACCTATTTTCTATTTGTTTGCTTATCCTTATAATTGAAAGGTCCTATTATGCTTAAATTTTCAAAAATTTATAACTATTTTTTACCTAAATTTTTTCGACAGATCATTTCGTTCTGTTTCTTTTATGATCATGTAGGTAAAAATATACAGGTAATGATAATTTCGATTCATTCACTAATAAGAAATATCAATGACTGAATTACAGGTTATAGTAATATAGTCCTAAATGTTAATAGGTAGACAATTCGTAATTTTTTACTTTGGAATACCTGTATCGGAAATGACAAGAATTGGTATATAAGTAAACTTCTCAGATTTTAAGTACCATATTTAATAAATCTACAATGAAGATTACATTAAAGTACGAAGAGTTGTGTTCCGTTTTATGGAGTATATCTTCAAAAGGGCCAGAAAGAATTGAAGACATTTCAAATTATATAAAAACTACATATAGTAGAAAAGTAGACAAAACAGGCATATCAAAAATTGAAAACTTTTTAAAACTTTTTGATGTAAAAAGTAAGTCTGTGGATGGAAATCAAAAGAAATTTCGATTAAAATTTTGTAGTTGGATGGAAACTACTACGGAAATCTCAACTTACAACACATCAACAGGAGCGCCTTGCAAGTCATACGAAGACTTATGTTCAAGGTAAAAAAAAGAGGGTCACACAAAAACTTTTTTCAATCTCAAATGAGGAAATTGCTGATACATTTAACGAAATGCTGAAAAAGGAAAACCAACCTATGGATGTCGTACATATTGCAACTATTCTTCCTAATGCATCACCAAAACGACTTAAGCGAATTGTGGAAAGTATACCAACTCCAACATCATAATCAAATTTTACTGAAGAGGAAGCAATAGCGCTTATGTTGGAACTGGGTCCCAGTCGAAATAAGTACCAAATATTAAGGAAAGCTCTGCATGAAAAAGGACACAATATATTACCATCATACAAGGCGATCCAGGAAAAAAAAACAAACTATCCTACTAAATCAACAAAAAATAATGAAGAATTGAAAGAACTGAGACCTGCGGAAAAACGCAGAATCCAAGAAGAATTTAAAGTTCAGATGGGATTAAACATCGACAAACCACTTTCAAGTTGCGGTAGTACAAATGACGGTAATACGGCGAGAAGGTTTTTTCGTGATTTTGAAATTACTTCAAAAATAACTGGAATCGACAAGGAGTTGCTTCGAAGAGTTAAAACTATTTTAATGGCACTGAATAGTAAACATAAAATTAATGAAAATCGATTTGGGGAATACACATCTGAAATTTCTAAATTACTTGTATCTCTGTATCCATGGAGGGAACTAACACCAACAGTACACAAAGTATTGTGTCATGGTCAAATAATAATTGAATCGAATATTCTTCCACTTGGAGAGTTAACAGAAGAAGCCCAGGAAGCGAGGAATCGAGATTCTAAGCATGTTCAACTATTCAGCTCAAGAAAATGCTCCAGGCAATCACAGAATGAAGATATTTTTAATAGTTTACTTCTATCTTCTGATCCTGTTCTTTCAACTATGCGAAAAAGATGGATTTGTTATGAAACTCTATCATCTCAAAACAAGGAAGATTTAAAGGACTTATATTACCTTCTGGATATGTATACCGATATGACAGATTATTTTATAGAAAATAAGTAGTGTTAGGAATTAACTATATAAGTAGGTTGTAAGAATTAATTGTATTATGTTTAAGATAAACAGTTCAAATAAAAAAAGCTATTATACTAACTGATGATATTGTATTAAATTGTGTTTTATATTTCGGTGGGCGGGAAAGGTAATTCGTGTGGGGTGATTTAGGTGTTGTTGTGCGTGGCTCATAATAAAATTATAATTTTTTTTATTTTATATACATTATTATAATAAAATAATTAACTAAATAATTTTTAAAAATTGTCCAAATATTTTATTCAACACCAAATGTATGTTCTGTCATACATAATACTAAAATATGAAAAAGATGAAATTAAAGGACACAGGTTTAAATGAACATATTTTTGAATGTAATTGAGATATTGGCTTGAAATTTTTTGTAAAGGGTCGAGAATTTCCATATCTAACTAAAAAATGATATTAAGGGATAAATATGGACTAAATTGTTGTAGCTATCTGCGATCCTATTAAAATGTTGATATAAATCATAGTTTTAGAAATTAAATAAATATGTAATATATGACAAAATCTTTATTTATGAACAAAACTCAATGAAATTTTCAACGCTTGTTAAATTTGTCATTTCAAATAAGAATATGCAAAAAAAAAATTGAAAAGGTCAAAGGGCATCCCGCAATTCCCAAAAATAGGAATGAAAATCCCAAAAATGGAATTTTTTACTTTTTTGCCCATAGGGTCCACATTTCTTTCAGGGCTGGGAAAATACTTTTGGAGTAAATAGAAAACATATTGAGGTTTCCAAAACTGCTTTCAGTTTTCTGATCCCAGCTTTGGGATTTTAGAACATGTCGCCCAAAGTTGAAGTTTTGATAAAAAATAGGTCATATTCGGAAGGACGCAGTGGCAACATTTTCAAAAAATAGGACAAGTTTTTTACGCCAAAGCATTCTGCGTAAAGATACCTTTTAGAAAACTATAAAATTGTTATATGTTCTTAATAAAAATTTTATTTTATTAATAAAAGAGTTAAGACACATTTTTGGCAAAAAAACGCCAAAAATCTAAAATTTTTTGAATTTTTAAATTAAAAAACGTATATTTTTGGATCTGTAAACAATATTGATCTGAAATTTTTGTATATTATTGGAAATTTTGTTGTCTAACTAACAAGAAAAAAATGAGTCCATTTGATCCAAAATTACGCCCGGTATTCAAAAAAAGGCGGACCAAGGTATGGTAAATTTTGTATCACTAAATTTTTAAATGCCTATAACTCGGATATTATAAGAGATAAGTAGTATGTCCAAGCATGTTTTTTCAAGATCTCGTCGAGCGCTTTCACAAAATATAAAAATCTTTGTATTTGGGTGAAAAACAAAAAAATATCACGAGTTTAAAAATTTTACATGTCGTAGGTACCCTACTTTGAGCCGCCACAGCGCCGTCCCTGGGGCATCTGCAGGGTTCATCTTCAAAACTTAAACTCGAATACTCCTTGGCTACGCTCACGCCAAATTTTATCCCGATCGGATCAGCCGTTTAGAAATGCCAGATTTATTTCCAAAAAATTTCCATTCTGCCCCACTGTGTAATGCGTTATTGACTTCTGATAATAGTACCGAAACAGGTTTTTCTGTTGCAAGAAATAATAAATAAATGACAAAAACCTGCAAGGAATGATTATTCATCCTTAGATCCAGTGTACCATATATGTCAACACGAATAATTTCGTTACAACATTTTTTGTATATGTGAATTTTCGTGTCAAGTGACCCAACTCAAAAGATCGTTTTGGATGAAATTTGCACCAAGGTTAGTACTATGTGATAGTAGGCTAGACACAGAGGGGGTCTAGAGTTGGACATTTTGGTCATACAGGGTTTTCTTCAAATGAGTACAACTTTTCACCTATTAGTAATAGCAAAAATTACCCAAAGAAGTTTAGATAGCTATTTCTTCACTGTCTCCAAAAATTTTGGAGTTGGATCACTTGCCACGATATTGCCCATATGTATATTCTTTAATTGAGTTATGTTTGTTTGATTAGTGTAACATTTCATTCAGATAATGAAAAGTTTATTCTTAAATATGTATTAATTTTAGCATTAAATTCTCAATTACGATTTTTGTCATTTAAGATTGGTTTATGTTTCTGTTTATTTAGTAGTATTGATGAAAAAATAATTTAATGCAATTTTCCGTTGGTTGCAAATTAAAAGTTTAAAAAATAATGAATTATGAAGATAGTTATTGAAAACATTAATAGTAATATGTATATATATTCGCATAGATCAATTATGCGACTGAAGTGTTCAAATTTTATAGCAGGAGTCAATTTATTCCTACCCGCACTTTTTGATGTACATTTTTTTTAAATATCAACCTTAATTAACATACGCATGTATTTTTTCTCTCGTAGTTATACAAAAAGGACAATATTTATTTTTAAATAAATTTATACAAAGAAAAAATTTAATAAAAAACGTGAGCCGTTTAATTTCAGAGAAATATTGAAATATTCATTTATTTTTTCTCACCTTTTTCTGTTCCCTTTACGTTTTTTTTCAGTATGATTTTTATTTTACACACTTCAGTGCTTGACCTACCAGCAGGTAGTATTGGTTCCTCTCATGGTCACTCTCATAGTCACAATAATAATGGTCATCATCATGGTCACAGTCACTCACACTCCTCAAACTTACACCGACGACACAGTAATGATAGCGGGCAGTTATACACAGAGTTTGCAACGAGGTCACTACTTCCTACGGACAGTGATGCCGATGCTACTGATGCAATTGACACTGGCGGCGCAACATCAATGGAGTTGTCGTCTGCACCAATGGTGCTCAACGGAAATTTGTCGAAACATCAACAAGATGGGTAAGAATTTATTGAAATTAAATTATTCTGTGGCCATTTATTTCAATGTAGTAATTTGTACAAGACATAAAAGAACATTTATTGCAGCCTTTGTTCTCATCGTTTCTATTATACGTTCTTTTAGGGTCTAACTGAGTTTTTTACTTATGTGTAGTATAATACTTTAACAAATAATTAAATCTTTTCAAAACATTACATAAAGATACATAAAGGTTATTTGTAATAGAGTCATCATATAAAATCTCAATAGGACACTTGTACTAGTGCAAAAAAATAGTTTTACTATTCTACAGTATTTGAATTGCATTGTGACGAATATAAACATTAAATAGATTTTTCAATTTCCATTACCTGAATTTCAAAAAGTAAAAGATAACCACGAATATGTTTATCCGATTATATACATAGTTAAATTAACATATACATATATTGAAATTTTTATATAGGCGCATTTCAAAAATTTTCCAACTAGATTTTACCTTACCCTCTCCTATTTTGAAGATACTATGTCACACATTCTTTGTATAAATACAAAGTTTAAATTTCTCCAAAATTTCAAAATGCATAACGGTTTTAGGTTTGATCGTGATTCAAGGTTCATATTATTTAAGATTATTTTCAACATGAATTAAATTTGATGTCGTATATTTTCTAAACTATTTATCCCGATTTAATTTTAGTCTACAACTGATATCTATGTGTTGAGTTTGACAATATTTTATTCAAAATATTATAGATTTAACATAAGGATAATTATATCAAAAAACGTCATTTAGGGCAGGATATCTCAAAAAATGTATTTTTCATTTCCTGTAGTCCAATTTTGGGTGAAATAGCTTATAGTATCATGAGCAAAATATGTATAAATAATTCAGAATGCGACAATGACAAGACCTCAACAAAATCAACTTTTAATTAAATAATCCACATCATTTTCATACAAATTTCAAAACATTAAAATACAAGACATATACTTTGATTAGCAACTAATTAAAATCGGATGAATTGTTTAGAAAATAAATCTTGTCAAATTTAATGCTTGTTGAAAAAAAATTAAAAATATAAACTTTGAACCTCCGCAAAATCTAAACCGTACCGAATTTTGAAATTTTAAAGAACTTTAAATTTCACTTTTCGTCGAAACCGAAGAAGGTCATGTTCAAAATCTCAATTTTCGAAATTATATGAAATAAATATAAATTGAAAATACTAAGTGAACATAATCTACAAAGTCAGGAAAATATATCCACTAAATTTCATTGAAATCAGACTACGACTTCAACTAGCTCTAATATAGACAACCGACTTTAATTTGTTTCCAATATTAATGTAGTGTTTTAAGTTTTTGGAAAAGGTTTTAACATTTTTGAAAATTCTAAAATTGTTACAAAATATTTAAAGATAAAGTCTGGTTTAGTGGGAATATTACTCTAAATATGTGAATTGTGACCACCAATTTTTTTCTAATTCTAATAATAAATTTGACCTGTGATACTATCTGAAATTATGGATAGACAGACATTGCATTATGGGACATAGACCGATTTTGAGATAAAACGTATAACAGTGTATAAGTATATAATAACAGCTTATGAATAACATAACAATTATGACAAATTTGTTTTTGGATTAGATTTAAAAATATTATTGTAATAAAAAAATAATGCACTATAGCCCGAAAACAACTTATGATAAGCAAAAATATTCTTCATCCAAAAAGGTCTCTATAGGAATTATAATTACATTAAGCAAGATATTAATACAAAAGAAAGCTTAGACCATTTCCTTTAAATGAAATATTTTTTCTTGACTTAGACTACCTAAAAAAAGAAGCCCATATAGGTTTCATATCCTGAGCAAAATCGCTGTAAACTAGTGTAATTAATTAAAATAATTAATTTAAATTTACAAAAAAATGGGTAAATGAAATTGGATTCAGTTTCTAATAACTCACTTATGTTCGAGCAGAATGTAAAAGTACAAATGTAATCATTTTAAATAGCAGGCTTTGGGGGTAATGATAACACAAAGAAATTAATTACAAGTGTAATTGGCAAAACTTCAATTACAAATAATAATAAGTATCGAGATATCACACATATCCATATATTTAAATGTTGGTTAAAAGTGGTATTTTAATGTACTTTCAACATTCAGACAAACGTACATATGTATATATGTATGTATACCTCTAGGGGTCTATATATTTTAATGCCTTAATCTAGAGTGGTTGTTGGTGGGTATACTAATACTTTATAGACAAAGAAAAAGTTTGTTGACCTATTTGATAACGTTGGGAATTGAAATTCGAATAAGCAGTTTATTCAACTGAATAATGAGTAAATTATCGAAATTACACTCCCGCTCACTTAAATAGGTTCACTGTTTTGTTTACATTCAAATAAATTTTTTGCAAAAAATAATTTACTAATTAGTAATATTAAAATTTTAAATAATAACATGATGTCTTAGATATCACTAGTGAGACAAAAATTAGCGCAATACCTAATAGCGGATTTTTAATAATTTTTTTTCTAACATACTACGTGGGCTCCAAGCCCGCCAGATGAAAATCCGCTCTTTTTCCTTCAAAATGTTCAGATGGATATTAAAGTTCTTCGTGCAAAATTTTAAGAATTTAGTTCTATTAGTTTCCCAGATATACAAAATTTTGTATTTAATTCATATGGGAAGTGCCAATCCCCCATTGAAAGTCCGCCCATTTTTCTCTAAATGTTCACATGAATGTCAAAGTTCTTCATGTAAAATTTGAAGATTCTAGCTCTAATAGTTTCTCAAATATAAAATCTTTTTCTATTTAATTCATATGGGGGTGCCAAGATCCCCTTGATTAAAGTCCGTCCTTTATTCTCCAAAAGGTTTAGATGAATATTAAAGTTCTTCGTGAAAAATTTTAAGAATCTTGTTCTCTTAATTTCCCTTATAAAAAATGTTTGTATTTAATTCATATGGGTGGCGCAGTTCCCCCCATTGGCAGTCCGCCAATTTATTACACAAAATGTTTGCATGTATGTTATAGTTCTTCGTGCAAAATTTGAAGATTCTAGCTCTAATAGTTTAAAAATATAAAGGAATTTTTTTATGTGATTCATATAAGAGGTGCCACGCCCTCTGCTGCTAGTCCACCTACTTTTTATCCTAAATAATCGTATTAACTCTAAAGTGGCTCCGACAAGGACTCTAACTGTTATATTTTCTCAGATATACAGATTTAATATTTTCTTAACATGTAAGGTGACACGCCCACTATATAGCCATTCCCCCCATTTTGTCAACAAATATTTATATGGATGTCAAAGTTGTCCGTAAAAAGGTGCCGCTCCCATCATGGGTATTCCGCCAATTTATTACTAAAGTGGCTCCGACAAAATTTCAGGACACTAACTGTTATATTATCTAAAATATACGGATGGCGTGGGTTTACGCCCACTTGAAAATAAGAAGTAGCCTATTACCTATTCCAGACATACAGGAATATGCTGTGAAAATTTCAAGAAAATCGGTTCAGCCGTTTAGTAGTCTTTAACGTTCAAACTTACAAACAAACACACATTCATTTTTATATATCGTCAGCTGAAACTCAAACGGTCCAACTAACCAAAAATTCAAAATCGATTTTATTGTTGATTCTAATGTATTCCATCACAACAAATGTCCACACCAAAAATTGAACTCATCCGACCATAATTATCGATTTTATTGATAAAAAACAAAAAACATTTGAATATTAAAGGTAAAAAGTCCAATTTGTCCATTTTTATATACGCCATTGTTAACTATCATAACAAATGATAGGTTTCACTATTAAACAATTTGTTTATTTACTACAAATAAATCGCGTTAACAGAAATAAACTTTTCAATTTAAATAGTTTTTTGCTTCTCCTGTAAAATTTCAAAAATGTTAGATAGGGCCGTTTGCGTTTTAGGTGACGATATATAGATTTCCTTATTTTTCCGCATTTTTCTTTAGGTTAGGATGAATGTATACTACATCAAATCCGAAGAAATACACTTATGGCACTATCAAGCATGTTGTGCGCTAAAAACAAAAACTCAGTTTCCTTAGATCGAATTTAACGAAAGCCACTGTCCTTAACACATGCTCTACATTCGTCTAAATTCGCACGTCCTACTTTGTGTAGTCGGCCCTCGTTGTGTCAAATGGTTTTGCGTTCGGCAAGTAAACTCGCTCTTTCGTTGCCGATTACTACTGCATGGCCTAGCACCAATATGATGCAAAGCTTACCTTTGTGGAGTATTTAGTTTAAGTACGGTCTTAGATTTAGCCTTATCACCTGATATCCTAATTGCTCTCTGGCTGTCGGTGCCATATTTATTCTAATCCAATTTACACATTCCGTTATTGCTCAGACTTCTGCCTGGAAGCTAGTATTGTGATGGTAAATTTCTTTTTCTGGGTCTTCAATATAGAATCCCAGGCCCATTTTGTCCCCAAATGTCTGTGTATAGCCTTACAATGTTTCTTTTTTCAGTTCGCCTAAGGGCTGAAGTGTTCGAATTAAATTGTACTATCATATTTTATTTTTATACAAAAAACTGCTACATTAATGTACATTTAAAACTATGAATTTATTTATATCTGAAAGCAATATAATTTAATTAATTTCTTCATTTACAGAAATGACAAAAATTTAAATCTTCGTGCAGCCATGATACATGTTATCGGTGATTTAGTACAAAGTTTTGGTGTATTTCTGGCATCAGTATTAATTAAAATATTTGTAAGTCAATAAGCAATTCCACCTTCCAGCAACGAATAATAAATAAATCTCATTATATTTATTTTTTCTCCTTCTCAGCCAAAAGCAGTATTCCTTGATCCATTGTGCACTTTGCTGTTTTCAATAATTGTTATAATGACAACAATTAATTTATTCAAAGAATCAATGCATTTAATAATGGATTCAGTACCTCAGGGCTTATCAATAGATGATCTCGAAATGGATTTATTAAATATAGAAGGAGTCAAGTAAGTATTTTAATATTTTCTATTGTACATTATTTCGTTTGTCTAATTCTTACTGCTCTTCCCTCTTCTATTTTATTCTAATGATTGTAGGTCTGTACATCATTTGAATGTTTGGAATCACACTTCAAATTACAGCATTTTAATGGTTCACTTGGTCATTGGTAATTATAATTTTCAATTGTTTATAATAGACAGAACATCAATCATAATCTACTTAAAACATTCATGTAATTAATCTGTATTTATTATAAACTTACTCATATGAATGTAAACACTTGTGAATATGAACATACGTATATACATATATTAGAGTATCTCGCAGGACAAACATTTTGTAAGAACACGACAGGAATGATTAATTAAGGAAATTTAAATTCTTTAGCTTCCTACTAAATTCAGAAATATATTTTTTTTCGAATCAGTTTGATATTTAACCATCTCATGGTCATTCCTGACTTAGTTCCCAAAAATGTTTTATCACTTCCATGTACCTGACTAAAATACATCCGTCTTTGATGAATTAAAATGGTTCCAAAGATGACATACAAAATTTAATGAGTAAAGATTTTAAGGCAACCGTTCCATAACATGTATAAATTTGTATATTAATTTTCCCATTCCATTTATAACACATCGAAATATTGGTATAAGACTCGCAAAAGTATTTTGGGTCCTTATTAAATCCAAATATGATCTAGCGACAGAAAGGGCTATCGATTCACGATTTCACATAACTTTGGATATAACAATATAGTAATAAAGCATTAATAAACCTATTTCATAGAACCAAAAATCTTAATACCAAATTTTACATGTATTTTTTGGTTGTAAAAAAATCTTAAAATTACACAGGCCTACAAAATTTGAAAAAAGTTCAAAACCCTGAGACCAGGTTATACTTTTATTATATTACACCGCCCGACAAAAAGAGAAAAACAAATAGACATGAACCGGAGGATATACGTCTGAAACTATAAATTTAATGGATAACAAATAAGAAATTAATGTCGGGCGAGGCCGACCATATAATACCCTACACCTGTTACAAAAATAAAATGTGATTTAGTTTTCATAATAAAGAATTTAAGTTGAATTGTACCTTGCCACAGATATACTTAAGCCATTTATTGTTGAATAAAATTGTGGACATTTAAGTCAAATTTTGAAGGGGGCTTTGTATAGGGGCTATGGTCAAATGAGACTCTATAATTATAAATTTCATGAGAGTCATCAAGGCTAGTATAGAACTTTTGCAGCTTTTTAAACATAATTATGAACTTAAAAGCCCTATTCGTCGGGTTCAGTTGTATGGGGGCTAGGTGAAATAATGGACCGATGTTAACCATTTTCAATAGGTTTCGTCTCCGGTAGAAGATCATGTGCCAAATTTCATTGAATTATCTTCAAAATTGCGACCTGTACTTTGATAACAATGTTTACAAGCCCTATTCAGGGGTTCAGTTGTATGGGGGCTAGATGAAATAATGGAAATAATCGAAATTGCGACCTGTAGTTTGATTACAAGGTTTACATGGACGGGCACAGCTAAATCGACTCAGAAAATAATTCTAAGCCGATTGGTATACATTAAGGTGGGTATTGGACCAATATTATTGTGCGTTACAAACATCAGCACAAACCCAATATACTCGTCCACTAAAGTGGTGTAGGGTATAAAATCTGCGAAATGAAAAACTAAAAACGCAGTTTTTCTCCATTAAATTTATAGTTTTCGGTTCGTGTCTAATTTTGAGTGTTGGACGGTTTTATTATACGTTTTAAACAGCACCAGACAACTTAGTTTATTCTTTATCCTTCGATATATCTTCACCATTACATTAAATATTGTCTATAACGAGCAAAAACTATCGGATCCGATCATGTTAAAATCGACTCAAAATCACTTTCTGATTCGATTTAACGATGTCTGTCGTTCCGACAACTGCAACGGATTACACCGTCCGAAAAAAAGAGAAAAAAATCGTTAGACACCAACCGGATGATATACGTCTGAAACTATAAATCTAATGGAAAATACTGCGTTTTTAGTTTTTCCTTTCGTGATGTTGTGTCCTTTTTAAAGGACTTCAAAATTTTAAAAAGTAAATTTTTCAAAAAATATTTTAAAATACTTCTACTGATCAAACAATGCCAAATTTGATGTCAAGTGAACCAGTTGGGAAATATTTTGTATTATTTATATTTTAAGAAACTGTGAACGCAGTTTTGCTTCATTTAATCTCTAGTTTCAGACTTAAATATCTGGTTCGTGTCAATTTTGAGTGTCGGACGGTGTTATATCTTAACAATTACAGCAGATTTTTAAACAATTCTAAAAGTATTTTCATAGGAAGAAGGAAAATATATCAGATGTTAATTTATTTTATTTTAAATCTGACAAAATGGACTTTCAGATGACGTACAACATTTTATACATAAAGACGTTTTGCCGCAGATGTAGTGGAAAAATTATGCGGCCAGTTTTGGATTCAGCGCAGCTCAATCCTTTAAAAAATTATACTTTGGTCTCTGGGTTACAAATTTGTCGGCCAGTATAATCGAATTAAGATAAAATTTTAAAAAAATTTTCAAAGATGTTAATTACTTTTTCAAATTCTGTAAAGATCAAATTCTTTTATCATAAAAGTTTGATCTAAGAATATGCTGTCTGATAGGGGCAAAACTTTGCATTAGTTTTAGTTGGTAAAAACACATTTCACTTCTGAATAGCATATCTAATGAACATAATTACAGATGTATTGTGGTAAAACTAACATTAATATTGTTGTCTATGAACAAATCTTAGGGAGTTTAAATATATTATAATATTTCATGATTATTGTTTATGTTTATCGGATTTATGAAAAATGTCATTACCAAGCAGCTTCTGGCCAATTTCGAATTTTTTGTTTCTTTTTTACAATTTGTAAATACTATAACTACTGAAATTAAATTATTCTGAACTCCTTAATGTTTCTTTTACTCACAGTCCATTGATTTTATCTTAAACAATATATTCATACACTTACATTTATTTATGTTATTTGTAATTATTTGTGTTTTGATATTTCAGATATTCTAACCGATAGCAATACAGTCCTAATGAAAGCCACACAATTAGCTGGAAGTGCAAAATACAACATTAAGCACAGCACTATACAAATTGAACGAGTGACCTCATAAATTTTCTACACTCCTTTACTCAAAATTTAATTTAAATTCGAAAATTTTCAATAATTTTTCTTAATACTTTATTGCTAGAAAATTAAATGCCAAAGTATACCAAATACTTATTGTTCCTAAAATGTATATGTACATAGATTTATAAGTTATTAATATGTTAATATATACATATGTACCTACGTATATGGCTGATTTACTTTAATAGTGTCCTAACTCCAAAAAAAATATATAGTTTACGACTTTGAATGTTATACGTATTTTCACTAATTTTTAAATCGAAATTATTTTTTCGGTTAAATGTCTGCGTACATATACCGATATAAATAGCAGTATCATGTATTATCATTAAATTTAGCAAATAAATTTCTTAAAACTATATGAATACCACTTTTCCGGTATACTTACAAATGCTGTTGACTTTTCTCAAACTATTAATTTTTGAATTCTTCAGTACTATACACAAAAACCAAAATATTGAGTTGAAACACAATTAAAGTAAATGAATATACATGCACATATATACATATGTATGTATATGTATATATATGTACATTCAAAACTATTTACATGAATAAGTAGGTATAAACTATGTGTATTTTTGTACAATTACTGAAAATATTAATGTTAAATTTAGAATAAATTTTTGAAATTATTTACTATTTATTCAATAATATTTAATGTAAGTTTGTAGTACAATGATAAATAAGTTGAATAAGAACAATATTTATTCTTGTTGATTTATGATGCCAAATATACAAATTTATTTTATAAATCATCTAAATATTTTGGATTATGAGTTTTTATTTTTTGCTCAAAAATTTATAAATTGAACTTATTTAGTTCATAAACACATAAGTACATACATATGTATGTAAATTGATTTTATTATGTAAAATTATTTGTAAATATTTAATGTGGTTATAAACTAATGAATTGTGTCTTTAACCATTGATTATACACAAAATCTCTAAATAATTTCCAAGTGTGGTAAATTTTATTTTAATTAAATATTTGTTTCTAGGAATAATTATGAACAAAATGCTAAATTGGTAAAAAATGTAATCATTTTAATAATTCTGTTTTTTAAATTCCAAGAAAAAATATTTACAAAATATAAAAGTGTTATTAATGTAGTAAAATAAAAAAAATACAAACAAGAAATTATAGTCGAGCGAGACCGACCATATAATACCCTACACCAGCTACAAAAATAAAATGTGATTTAGTTTTCATAATTAAGCATTTAAGTTGAATTGTATCTTGCCTCAGATTACTTAAGCCATTTATTGTTGAATAAAATTGTGGATATTTCAGTCAAATTTTGAAGGGGGCATTGAATAGGGGCTATGGTCAAATGAGATGCTATAATTATAAAATTCATGAGAATCATCAAGGCTAGTATAAAACTTGGTTTTGCAGCTTTTTGTCGAGATACGAGTATATTAAACATAATTATGAACTTAAAAGCCCTATTTAGGGGTTCAGTTGTAAAGGGGCTAGCTGAAATAATGGACCGATCTTAACCGATTTTCAATAGGCCTCGTCCCTGGGACAATATAAGATTATGTACCAAATTTCATTGAATTATCTTCTAAATTTCCTATAGTTTCATTACAAAGTTTACATGAACGGACGGACATAGCTAAATCGACTCAGAAAATGATCATAAGTCGATTGGTATAACTTAAGGAACAGGACAAATATTATTATGCGTTACAAACATCAGCACAAACCCAATATACCCAATATACTACTAAAGTGGTGTAGGGTATAAAAATGCATTTAAGCTCCAGAAATCCCCCAGATTTAGCCTATTAGAGTTCAAAATTGTAAAATTCATATATGCAAAATTTTTAATATTTAGTAGTTTACACAATATGAAATTATACCTCTTTTTGAACTAACACACGATATGGTATTATTTATGAAAACACTTTTCCCGCTCGGTTTTAATCTAAAACCTCACGCACAAGATCAATTTTCTAAAATTGGTCATAAAATAAAAATGTAATTTTTTTCTATCAAAATTGTGAAAATCTTCAGTTTTGTCTAAAATTTGAAATTTGGATTAGAATTAAGGTGAATTTAGCAGGCATGGGGGTAACGATTACACAAAGTAATTCATTACATGGTCAATTACAATTACATGTAATGTGTAATTGAGCAATAACCAATTACAATTACTTGTAATTAATTGAAGTTTTTCCAATTACAAATAATTGTAATTAAAGTTTTGCCAATTACAATTACTTGTAATTGTAATTGAAGTTTACCAATTACATTTACTGGTAATTGTAATTGGCAAAACTATAATTACAATTAAAAGTAATTGTAATTGGTAAAGCTTCAATTACAATTACAACAAAAGTAATTATAATTGAAAATGTTATTATTACCCCTCATGCCTGGAATTTAGATACAAATTTATAGCTATATTTTTAGGATCGGTCTAAAATTGTCCCTACCCCATATTATTTTTATTGACAATAAATAGCTAAAAAATAACGATAAAATTTGAAAATTATTATTTGTTGTGTAATTTTTTTTATAACTTTGTATAAATAAATTAGAAAATATTATAATTTAATTTAATCCTGGTTGGTGGTACAATTTTAAAATTTCAGTTCTTATCCATGTTATGTAAAATATTTTCTTACATACACACATGACTAAATACAACTACAAATATATATATACATACTTACTTACATATGAATTTGTAAAAAATAAAACTCGACGTAACGGAAATCGGTTAACCATAAAACAATTTAAAAGGCTTTTTATACGTAATTTTAAGTAAAAACCAATAATTGCTGAACATGTGAAATTATAATAAATTGCACGTAATAATTGTACACAGATAATTATACAGAATTAAAAAAACATACTTACACACTAGAGCGTAGATTTACACTAAAACGAGTTAGTATGTCATATATTGATATACATATATATCTAGGTATGTCTATTGGAAGCAGGGAATGGTATTTTCTCATAATATTCCCTGTTGATCAAAAAATTTAAAATTACGTGTAAAATATTTCTAAATTTATAAAGAATTGGCACTCTATTGGGCATCTTTTTTGTTATCAAAAATTAGTATTTAGGTGATAAATAAAATCATGTTTGCTTCATAATTATGTAACATATTTTTGAGCGTTTAAGTGCAACTTATGTATTCAAATAAAATATCTTTATTGTCAAATGAACATTTAAAGCATCGATTATTTGATGCTTTAATTATGAAATGACACCATTTTTTCAGAAAACCATGTTAACTATACTGCACGAATTACAGCTCGAAAAGCAAAAAAGAATTTATCCTTTACCACTAAGCTAACGGTTTATAGAAAAAAGTATTTGTATTTTGGATTATAACCAAAATTAGGCCCTATGACTACGAGGTACTCAGTAAATTGACATGAATTTTTAATAGTATTTATAATATGTTTGGGTTCTATTCTTGCCTTAAATGTCGTGGGTCAGATAATAACACTTTTTATATTAAAAATTTCCGATTTTGTATTAAAAAATTTTATTTGGTGTAAACATCGAAAACTTTAAGCAATTAACTTTCCAGTTTCGTTTAAGATTGTCTTCAAATTATCTTCGGTCTTCTTCTTGTCCTTGAGCACGCCTTTCTTCTCTTTACTTATGTGTTAATGTTATCTTGGTCAGCGATTTGACGGAGTTGGTCGTTGGTGACTCTGTTAGTAAATGGTTGAATTTTATTCTTTTTGCTTTCGGTGACCAACCGAGTTTCTGATTCGTATAGAAGAATGGAGTCTACGTAGGCGTGGTGCATATGGATTTTAGTCTTAGGAGAGAAATCGTTTTATTTCGAAATGTTTCGTAGGTTGTAGAATGCAGATCTGGCCTTATGTATACTTGGACCTAGGACACCGGAAGTGCCATTGTCAAGTGTCCTAGTAGAATGTATGCATTTCTCCTTTCTCAGTTCGCCATTTGTCACAGTTTCGCTGAGAATTTTTCTCAATTTTCCTCAAAATTTCCAACAAGGATTTAACGTACGCTAAATTTTAATAATTAAGGCAAATACTTAATAAAATGTGTGTATAAATATTAATATACATTTTGTTAAATCTAAACTAAGTATTTAATATGCATTTTCTGCCAATTCAATGAATGAGTTTTTAAAAACCGTATATTTTCAAATGCAGAAAGGGATGCTTAGTTTTAATATGTATCTACATTTATTTAAGTAATTATATTGTGGGTATAGTAATAACTAGTATGTATGAATGAGTGTTTATAAATCTGTTTGTGCACTTTTAAAATAACACAAATATAAATATAAGTAATTGTAAGATTTAATTATTACGCTATATACGAGAGTATGAACATGTTACAAACAACGATGGTGATAACCGCATAATAACGCAACTTAAGAACGCACTATAAAATATCACGCATCCACACGTTGCACAAACTGTAAAGAGAACATTTAATGCAACCAAAAGTATGACATGGGTCAACAAACACACAACGTCATTCAGAGTCATTTTCAAATGGCATCCACATTGTAATATGTGTGTGTAATAACAAACATACATTTTACAATTGTACATACAGAGTAACGACAACTACTGCTGCTTATGCGTATCAGCGATAAATGTGTTAGTCTTAACCGAATTACACATACGCACCCGGTGGAAATATTTCACATTTATACAAACCTATTATAGAGATGTACATATTCAAGCACAGTAGTCCGTTTTACTAGTTGCATTTTTGATGCATAAATTGTATTAAATATCGGTTCATGTTTTGTTACATAAAAGTTTAACTTATCGACTTATGTAGTTTTAAAAATGTTTAAAGAGAGAAAACATATTTTATACATTTGCATAAAAAATGCATAATTTCAAAAATTTCTTAACAAAAATAATATTGCAATCAAAGTTCACAACTAAAGCAATTGAAATCGGATAAATACTTTCAAAGTTATATATCTTCAGAATTACATCCTTATTTAATTTAAAAATTAAAACCATGATAAGAAACAATAGTTTTTTCCTTTTTATGCCACCCAGCAAAATAAGCCACTGTATTCGCACAATAATTCGAGTAGT